TTTTAGCAAGATATGGTGATGGGTTACATATGCGAATGTGCCTTTCTGGGTGATAAGACGTCTCTTGAAAGTGCAAATTAGTCTGCAAGTTAATGTCAGCTGGGCTCAATTTTTTCCCAACACCTTAGCTGGCACATATTTTGTTCATTATTTTGTACATTTTAAAGCAGAAGCCTATTTTTATATCTGTTAGCTTTTGGTTTATTTGAAACTTCAAGGGTATGCAATGCTCCAGTATATATAAAAAAAAGGAAATGCAACAAATATGATATAATCCCTTAAAACGTCCTATTCAAAAGTGATATTTTTTCAGATGGCAAATTAATTTTTAAGTCGATGATGTAAAATGGAACTTAATCAACTGAGTAGCTTCAAATCAGATAAATACTAGGTCTACTAATGATACAATAGTATATAGTACAATGTGATTGCCTTAATCAATATGCATATGGGATATAGGATTGTAAATTCTTAACAGCGTATGTTACCACTATGGTATATTTCATATAAAAGAGGTAAAGTAAAACACCAATATTAAGACTTGCACTTTTTAAAAACTTATTTGGCTTACAAGTGAAGACTGTTAGATTTATTCTCTCATACACCAATTGGAAATAGGGGCCAGCGTTGTTGGAGAAATACTTATTTTTGAAATTTGTATATAAAAAGTTGTATTAAATCTATCATGTAAATTTGTGTATCAATTATTAATTCGCATAGATGCAATGAAGAGACAGAATTACAGTCTAAGAAATATTTGCTAATATGTTTCCATGTGATTTAAAATTGCCATTACAATATTGTAGAAGCTGAGAACTGAAAACTTTTGAGTTATTTAGCAATTCACATACAATTCTGTGCAAATGTTTAATACAGATTGGCTAAATATAATACAAATAAATGGACCAGCCTTAATATTATTCATTACCAATAACGCTGGTTTAATTTGATCATATTTTATAAACGCACATACTGTACTAACATACAATTCGTAATTGGTTTATTTTTGGGTTAGATCGTATAAATATTATACCAATTTTAACTATAACCCTCTACCAGCCAACAAAGCAAATCAACTCAAGATGCTCCGTGGGTAAATATGCAAATATATTTGGTTTGAAAAAAAACGGAATGTTGAAAGGAAAGTAAAATTGACAATTTTTTTATATATATTTACACAGGAAGATGTTTCGCAGGAGATTACATCCAGCATCATCAGGTTGTTAACAGGAGCTCAGATCAGGGGTGAAAGTGCTTCCTGACCCGAGTCCTTAAGTAGATGACATGACGTCAGCAGTCACGAGCGTCATCTCGTTCAATAATGAGGACATTAAAAGCAGGTAAGCCCCAAGCCCACTAACGTATACAGTAATTAAATATGTAACATAACAACGATGCAGTGTAGTTGTAGAGAATATGAATAACAAAATAAAAAATCTGAAAATATTTGGCTCCACATAACATCCCATCCACCCCACAGGCTTCTGGGAGGGTATTTTTTTTGAAACATTGGTTTAATACAAGCAAACTCTGGACCAGATGTGTACTTGTTTAAACCAATGCTGGTCAATTGCCCGATGTTCATATAAACACATTCCTGCGGAGGGAGCTGGTAGGATCGTTGGGTTGCTCGGTCAATGGCCAGGGTCAACGGCGGTGTGGTGTATTCCGCAAATATGTCCGGCTGTGAGGGCGAGCACAAGCCGGTGTGAGTAGGTTAAACATTGAGTTTTATAAGGGCACCACGGGGTGATCATCCCCTCCCCACCCAGCCCCACCCCTCCCACCCCCCACCCAGCCCCACCCTCCCCAACCAGCCCCTCCCCACCCTCCCCTCCCCACCCAGCCCCTCCCAGCCCCATCCTCCCCACCCAGCCCCTCCCTCCCCACCCAGCCCCTCCCCACCCTCCCCTCTCCACCCAGCCCCACCCTCCCATTTTTGGATGCACGACGGACGGACACAATAATCCCCTGTGGGCTGGTGTAACCAGGAGGTTCCTACCAGTATTAATGGCAAACTTGTTGCAGAATATTTGGATATCTTCTATGGTATCACTTACTAGATGCAATGTCTATTACAATTTGGACAATCTTCACCTGCTGTAAACATTAAACTTCAGTACCGTACTGCATGTCATTCGTGAGAACCACAATTGCTTTTAGTACTTTACAGAAATTCCAATCCCAATTGCTTACATACAGTGTTAAAGAGGATTATACAAACCTTACACAGATTGGAAACACTGTGAGTGGCAGTAAACAAGAAATAAATTATGTACAGTTCCAACACAACTACCAGGGAAAATGTAGCAGCTATTTCCGCGTTAAAGGATATATGAATGTGTAATAACCATACAACTCTTATTCTTGGTTCTTTCGGTAAAGTCACGTGACTTTACCGAAAGAACCAAGAATATGAATCCCTGCAGTCACGAAAGTTTTAAATCATACAACTCTTGTTCCTCTTCACTGAGTGGACTACTGACATTGTATTAAAAAAAACATTCTAAGAGATGATGGAAGTGTCCAGCATTGCATATGCGACTATGCATTCACAGCTCTAATACCAGAGTTTTAAAATGTGATAAAATACTTGTATTCAGCGGGTACTTTAACGTTTATGAAAAAATCGGTTTACTCAATGTATAATTGAGCATGAATGGTTTTCCATTTGCTTTTCAAATGTGGACGCCACAAAAAAGCTTTACATAATATTACATTCATCGCACATCTACAGGCACAAAACAAAGAACGAAACGAATATTTACACACGAGCATTTTTTCCATGCTCCTCAACTGCACGTTTTTTCTGTTAACGCATTATAAGAACACAAATATATGCCATTGGTTTTGTTCAAAAATGAATGTCATACAATTCTCCCCCAAAGCGACAACGCCGCTGATTCGAACATAAAATTACCAGATTTAAGTTGCAACACAACGGAGGCTGCCATGCGTGCACCAACAATCACGCGAGCAACCCCGCCTGAGAGCTCCGGGCGAGCAATATGGTGCAACCACGTGAGCGAGGACCGCGCTATATCGGGGGGGGGGGGGGGGGGGCATCACGGTGGCGAGTAATCTCGACCCTGACACCTGCTGTATATTTGGAGTTTGCATATCTTTCTCCCCGTGGTTGCGTGGATTTTTCTCCGGGTCCTCCGGTTTTTCCCTCCAGATTTAGGAGCACGCGGTTCAAAGGATTGGGCCGCGATACATTTCCACATAAGCCAATTCGTTGAGCTATCATTTGTGGCCAGTTCGCGTCTGAAAAAGAGCTATATAGCTCATCGGGCCTTATCTGGTAAAAAAAATATGTTTTTCGCAGAGGCGCTCCGTTAAATAGCAGTGTTCACACCCACTCACCTATTGACCTTTTTTTACCACTGCACTTAATGCACGCTTGTCTGTGGGATTTATCTTGTAGTGCGACTTGATGTATAGGTGCACTGTACCAAAAACTGAGAAACATTTTGAGTGGAAATGCAAGCTCAGCAAATTTGAGCGAACTCTGGCATGGATAAATTGACGGCGAGATGCTTCTCAGTCCCCAAAGCGAACATAGCCCACAAAGCCGAAGGTTCCAATGTTCGATTACTGAGTAGGCATCACAAAACCGCAGGAGGCATATGAGAACGTGCCACCTCCTTGAACCCATTTGGCAAACGTGGAATATTAGGCAAATAACCCTATCAAACCTGAAACAGCATGAACACCATATGCAAAGCGTATGCTTTCATTTGAAAAATGCACATGCAACACTATGCCGTGATGAAGAGGGAGGTGCAGAGAAAGGAGCCACGCATTGTTTGGAGTGATGGTCTCTGGTTTGAGCTGCTCAAAATACCAATGGTCTATCTCTAGCTATGTACTTTTCCCTGTAGAAAATGTTGGGGGGGGGGGGGAACATTTTAAGAATGAGTGACTTGATGTAAATAATGATGGGAATGCTAACTTAAGGTATATATCATGTCTTTGTCAATAGACTGCTGGATGAGAGTCTCCCCATGCTGTGTCAGTCATGGGAGTCGTTGGACTATACTTCACCACAATGGTAAGCGTAGGTTTCTAAAGAAGGGCAAAGGACCAGCTGTGCCCGGGAATCAAACTCTTGGGCAGGTAACTGGGTTCATGTCACAGTGTGCTGCTAACCACCATATCCGCCGCTCCACCCCCATGCATAATTATAACAAAGAATGACTGTGCACACTATAAATTCATTATTTCTATGATGTGTCCATAGGAGCACACATGATTAAGCAAACGCTCCGAAAAACGTAATGCGTGTTAATGGAACTGCAATTGCAAACCTATTTTGCCCAAACCAAGCGTTCGTATCTTTTGATATTTTGGCACAAAGTATAGTTTATAGTGTCATGGAAGTCACATTCACTGCACTTTTGCACACACACACACACATGTGCCCAATTACTGAGACGCGCACAATACGTGCGACGCTATATATTTTGTTGCCTGCTTCACGTAGCTGGTGGACACCCATAACCCCCCCCCCACCCACGCCCCGAGTGACCCCAACAAATCATCTAGAAACAGTGAGAAAAAGCACGCTCGGCTGCACCATTACACAGGAACAGTTTACGAACAAAAAGGAATCCTAGGAATTTGTGCCGTTACAAAATCCCTCAACATGGGGAGAGGGGGGGCAACAAGAAAAATCGTTCGTCAGGATATTAAATGGTTGGAGCTTTATTGGCTGAAAGCAAAAGAAAAAGACTGAGACATTTGACATTGCTGATGTCACATTACACCATTAAATATTTGATTGTTTCCATCTTTAAACCAAAGATAATTACAATCCAGTGAAGTCCATTACTTAGTAATTAAACAAGACTGCTAAAACTGCAGAGCCGCACATTATTTCTCTCCAAACTTTCTTGTTCGTACGGCAAGGCATTTTATATTGCCACGAAAATGTCATTTGTTTGAAATAAGGACATTACATACAATAATAAATACGCTATAGATTTATGCAATTGAGGTTTTTTTTTCTACAATATTCTTTCCACTTGTGCAATTTCTGCACACAGCAACCCATGACAAGCTTTTCATCAGGGGAATAACTTTGGGATAAAGGCCACCGAAAGAAAAATGCATTTCACTCGATTTTTTTTATGTAAGAATGTGATGCAAAATGTTAACAGATTTTGGGTTTCAATCTTTAGAAATCATGCTTCAACCATACAGAGTTGGAACCGTTTATGACTCTATCTTGACAGAAGAATTACAAGCCACAAACCTATCATAATATGAAATTCAATATAACGTGATTTGAAGAGGCAGCTTAAAAAAATCAACTCTCTGGTGTGTTTTTGGGTAGTACCGTGGGGTTGCACGGGGCGACGTCCAACGTTTCGCTCAGCACACTTACGCTCTCAGCATGTGGAGTGAAATATCAGACATCACACCAAACAACCCGATGAGCTACACTGGACAATCGTGAAAACCTACAAACAGTCGTGGTGGTTTAACAAACTGCCAAACCATTCGATGAAAGATCCTAATGCTAATTGCAATTCATTCCATCAGTAAATAATGATGTTAGACTGAGATGCGCTATGTCGTGTGTTCCATCTATAGAAGTGAATTTCAACAAACTATGTGGGTCAGTAAGATTGTTTAGTGAACTACATACAAAAAAAGCAGCAGTAATGTAATGAGTGTGGTGAACAATGTCATTATGCAAATTACGTAACGTTACAGTATTTTAATGCGGTATTTATTGAAAAAGAATAGTTTTGTAAATGTGGTTCACATCATGTTGAAGCACTCTGATGATAATTATCCGTTATATCTTTAAATGAAAGAGCAATGAAACTAGCTTGAAAGTGATCATAGGTTTGTAATCCCTGCATCCCTGCAGCCAGTTGGCAGAGATTTTATGAAAGTGACTCTTTAGAAGATTTGAATCGGATGCATGTCTAGGTGATAAACAAACTCGCTGCATTGGACTTGTCAGAGGTAGTGAAAATGGATGAATGCTGCTGCCCCGTCAAGAGAAACAGTGTGGTGTAACTGTAACCCCGAGATGTTATGAAGCATCTCATCGCATCATGGACTGGCCAAGTGGAAATGCACTAAAAGCTATCCTTGTTGTGTTTAGGAGATTTATATAAAGAAACAGGCTTATAAAGCCATGACAGAATTATGCCATGGTGTAATGGTTAGCTCACTGGACTTGCAATCCAGAGTGTCACCAGTTTGATCTCTTGGCATGTCAAGTAAAAAAAGGGGCTAATTTCTCAAATCCTCACACCTCTGTCCACCAAGCAGTATAAATGGGTACACCACGTTTAGTCAATTGGCAGGTCAAGTGTGGTGGTAAGGGTACTCTAAATTTTTCCTAAACGTTTGGCCAGCATAAAAAAATAGGTCAATATAGCCTCATGGAGTTCACAAGAGTTCATCTGCAGCACATTTACCTTCCACCTATAGGGCCATGACTGACAAATAAGTGCATTCAATTACTAGAAAACCAACTCGTCATTTAGTTTTATACTTGGTCATGGTATAATTTTCCACAGAAACTCCCATTCATTTTTGTGACTTTGATCTTCCAACAAATTGGTGTAGAACATGCCCAGTCTTGCATCATGAGTACGTTTCAACTTGTAATTTTAATATAATTTTTAAATGATACGTTCACATCTCATATGAACTGAGGAGAGACTCCAATTTACCTAAATGATTGTGTAATGAATAGCGTCTACTGCCTCCTTGGATTGGTTGAAGAAACTTAGTGTTCAGCTATAGCAGGTCTCTCCGGCCATAAAATACTTTAATAATTGGGCCTCCAAATCTTACAGCACTGAGCACTGGCTACATTTCAAATTCAACAATGGCTTTATTTTATGTAGTATTAATATTTGGTGTAAATAAAGGTGATTTGATAATTTGATGGTGAACTTTAAAAATTTTAACCATTTTCAATTAAGCATTTCAATTATGACGAACAAATGCAAATGTGTTCAATAAAATGAGGTGAACTTTTCCACTCCTTGTATACTGGATGTACTCATTGAAGGATTGATAATAAACACTTTTGTTTTAAACACAGCATTCCTGTGATGCTTCAAGCAAACCGTTTCCATGGGTGCCGTGACGTCAAGTTCGACAGTTCCAGTGCAAATCAAAATCTTGCTAAAACCAATGTCAAGGAACTTACCGAGCATAACACACTTATTCGCCTGATTACATTGCTAAAGCAACCAAAGCTTCTCAGTGACAACAAGTAACCAAACACTTACCAAGGTTGACTTTATACTCGTCCAATTCATTATACTCCCACTCCATGGATTGGGCAATTTACCATGAGTTAAAGGACTTCCAGAAAATGCTTTAGGAGGTGGTGACAGCGCCCAGCAGTAATGAGCGCATTTAGCGCTTATTGGAAAAAATATACGTTGATATTCTTTCACACCGTACGTAGCCAACCATGTAAATCAGAGGTACCGGGGAAGAACAACAAACTACACACAAAAATCAGTTCTTAATAAATGGGTTTTCAATCTAGATTTAGAAGTGCATCGCTTCACGTGACTTCCTAATTTCAGAAGGAAGCGTGCTCCAGATGGCTGGAGAAGCACATCTGAAAGCGCACGATGCAGTGGCCATCTTTTCCGATGTTTAACCAAAAGCAGCTACAAGAATGACCGCAGTGTGCATGATGGTTTATGCTCCTTGACGAGATCAGCAAGGTATTGTGTTTCATTTATAGCAAGCACTTTGTGTGTAATGAGTGCGACCTTATAATGTATTCGTTTGGCAACCAGAAGCCAATGCAGCTCAGCGAGCACTGGGCGGACATGGTCGGATCTTGCAGTACCCGTCACGACACGTACCAAAGAATGTTGTACACGCTGTTACAGAGATTCACGGTTAGTATCCAGCAGGTCACCATGGTTATTATTGCGGATGTATTAGCTGTATGAAAAATATGTACAGACAGCTTCACAATAGAGGTTATTCGAAATGAGTCGGGCATCGTGTGATGATGCAAATTTGCCAAATTCCAATAAATTACCAGAAAATTATTCAATTGGTATTACATGCAAAAATCATGGTCCCCTACTAACAGATGAATGCCCATTTGCAGGCTAGTGCTGAGTCACCTTGTGCCACACGGGGACAGCTGCCACTGAGGGTGGCCTTCAAGTGTGTTGAGATGAGACGTTATGTAAGGCGCATTGAGTTGTTCAGGGAATTTAAGCACCATATATATACCAAAATCATGACTATCATGATTATCTTCTTTGGTTCTTTCGGTAAAGTCACGTAGAATGATAATAAAATAATAAATTGATAAAATAAAATAACACAATAATATTCTCACGACGTTTCGGCCACAACACAAGCGGCCTTCATCAGGTGAAGGGGGCGAGACTGTCTAGTAGGACAGCGCTGGAGTGAAAGAGCCACGTTCAGATACGGCCTTTAAGCTGTGTGAGAGGAACAAAGCGCCTGCTGCAGAAATAGAGCTTGTACCTGCTGCAGAAATAGCCTCAAATGTTTTGATTACTCCCAAGAAGCATGGTAACACGAAAGCAGCTAAAACACTCATCGTTAAAACATGTACAAGTGTTTATTTTCCCAAAAGACAAAGTTAAGTTTAGCAATGCACAATGATGATTAGATTCCAAGTTCTTTCAGCAGTAGCGAACATCAATGCACTCACAGACAAAGCAGAGGCTGCGGTGGCCCAAACATGTGCAGGGTACGAGATACGGGATGCGCCATTCATTACAGATGTCTTTTTATGTAATTATTCTTCCTGTAAAACACACCACTGACGTCTATAGATTCTCAAAATGTACCCAATCACATGTGACTCCATTTACAAGAGTATACGTGACTTGGGGGATGCCTCCACCGAGCAGTGGATGTTCGGAACACAGCTGAAGGTGACAAAAATATTCTTTAGACAGCGCACATCCTTTAGTCTCTTTCTGTCTATTTAAAACCATTAAAACGTGTACAATGTGATTTTTTATGTATAGTCTAATCTACTTTTAAAATCGACTCCATGTTCTGGAACAGAACATGGAGTCGCTTTGCTTTTAAAAGTATCATGCTTCACAAGTAATCAATATGCCCATTTTCTTGAATGCATAGCCATGAATTGTATTCGGCAGAATAAAGCAGCGTACACATTTGCGCAAGGCACGTCTACACTGTATATTGGCAATAATTTAAGCGACTTAACTATAGGATAGCCATCAGCAGTCAATTCAGCAATATAACATTGAAAACTGTTTAGCCAAGCCCTCTATTTCCGTAAACAAAAAGGCATTCTCCATCTTATTCATGCAACTAATAACATTACAATCTGGGCTTGATGCAATTGTTGTAAACAAGCTTTAGAGTTTCCTACTGAATGCAAGACCTGCTTAAAAATCAAGCCTGTTCAACTTGGCAGCCAGGTTAATTATCTACAATCTCATAGGGTAGAGAATGTGTTTCTAATCCCATTTGTTGCCAGAACAATTTTTATAGTTTACAAACGACAACAAAAAACAAAACAGTGATCTCAGAAGTCTTTCATTTTATTCCTCGGAGCAGACTTAGGAGCTTGTATTTGTACTGCATAATTAAAAAAGTATATCTAGAGGTAGCAATATCAACCTACAAATCACTGGTAATTAAAATTAAAAGAATTAGTAAATGTTGACAACAGTGTTAAATTTTAGAATAGTTCTAGCACCACCATAATAAACACTAAACAAATAGACATTAAACTACAAGACAACACTGTAATAAACTGCTATCGTGTCTCTTGTGCTATAATTTGAAAAACAAAGAGGCAAGCAATGTCTCCGTCATATATCTGTCTCAAAACATACCAAATATTTATTACACAACCCACCGGCCCAACAGCCTTCTGGGAGTGCACAATTTCAGCAGAATGGATTCAGTAGAAGCAAACCCTGGACTGGTTTGGACAATGTCTCATCAAGCTTACTTGAATCAATTCTGGTAAAACTGTCAGATGTTATAGGCAAGGACCCTCACTTTAAGAAATGGGTCCTATTTTGACGCGAAATTATATAACACCTATAAGTATGGTAAAGTAACTCCCACAAGCCGCACGTTGTGAGGTCCTAATTCAGCAGTGGATTGATGAGGGCTGCACACAAATATGTGCACGCTACGGGCTGCACACAAATATGTGCACGCTACCTATCCTTTCTTAAATTTTATGGTAAAATCGTTTGTAAAAAAAAGATGCATTTGCACTTAACTTAAATAAGGCAAATGTTAACATGTGACTGCAATATTTACTTAATTTTGAATTTTATTTTCCTACCTACATAAATATGTAGGCTCGAAATATCAAAGAAAGTTATATTAAGGTAGCATCGATAGCATGCAATGTACCGTATTCCAAAACTTTTAGCGGATGGTTGAGTAAACTTTTGCTATCACTTCTTAGCATTCATACAAAATATAGTCTGGTGCTATTCCCCTGCACTCAAAAGCTGAGAGAAGAGTACTTGAGAAATTTATTGTGAAGTTTAAATTACGGAATGCATATTTTAACTCTAAATAAAAAAATAAAAAAATATATGCAGAAGAGCAGAAATCGTATCACACCATTGCAAAAACCTTTAGGTACACAGTATTAGCAACTGGATGCATGCCACACTAATTATAGGTTAGGTTAATATTAACTTTTTTATCATCAAAACAACTGCAGAAAAATACCACGAAGTTAGTGCCAGCATTAATTTTGCTGAACCACACCAGATTCAACGTTTGTTTTACTGTTTCAACTTGTATATACAGAACTGCATTAAGAGCCATTTTCTTACCATGGGTTAGCAAGGTATCATCCTAACAGCTATCTTAAATATAAACTTCACAACTAAATTAAACATTCAATGAAGGGTGAAAAAAAATGTCCTTACTTTGGCTGTGTTCTTAACCTGCACTTGCAATCATGTATTTAAGGTTATGGGCATTAACCTATCCATTAAATGCAAATGAAAAAAAACATAAGCTTAGGGAACGTGGGAACTGAAGCCACATTGGAATCTCAGACCCTCCCATCCGAGCATATAGTATTAAGCTGATGATAATAACCATGGTAGCTAACTAACATGCATTATATAGTTACTGCCTTAATCGTGGCCTTAACTGAACTGGCAACATAGCGTACGTAAACTTTACATTAAATGTTAAACAATATACATCTATTTAAAAAATAGCATTTGTATTTTTCTCCACTTTTATCCCCTATCCCCGGTGTGTTATCGTTATCATGTCCAGGACAAAGCATCCATCTGGATCTCTCACAGAGCAGTGAAACTCTTCCTGTTGCCGTGAAGAGAACAGCCAAAGTAAGCGGATATCACAGATCTAACTCTGAGATCCCTTCAATCGACCTCTGGTTCACACAGTAGAGGGAAACACTCTTCCACCCACTCTGCATATGAGAGTAATATTTGCACATGACAGTCACACTGACATTTAATTCTGAGCTGGAATTTTGTTGTGCAGTCATTGAGACCATCAACTCACTACACTTGAGAACCGTTTAATCATACAAGAGCCTGATTTGAACCCAGAATCTCAGCGGTGACAACCAATACTCTGAATCACCCAACCACATCTCAAATAATATAATCTACTGCATTGTGTACCTTAAATAGAATCGTGACCCTGCATCATGCATTAGGGGGGAGGGAAATTTTCTTGAAAACCAATGCTTAAACGTATACACTTAAATACATCCTTCTGTCGTTATTTGTTTACTTAGAGATATATGGAGAGTAAAATACTAGCAACGTGCACAAGTTTGCTACGGGTTAAAAATAAATTCAGGCTGCACACAACTTTTCTTTATTGGCTCTAGTCCCCGACGACTGTCTTGAAGGATGTGACACGACGCTCGTTACAAGTGCAGGGGTTGTGGGTGCAGAGATTTTGAGCGGGTGGTCATGGACCCACTGTTGGCCCTGAGAGAGTTGGCAAATATACAGTTGGGTTTAACATTTATTATTTCTCCATCACTCATACCTGCAACAGTGTGCAAGTTGAATGCAATCTCCTTGTCGTAGACTTACACGGGGGCAATTATTACTTAGAGGCATGGGGTTACGATACGATGTTTTCACAATACATCAAACAATAATAGTGCGAAATGACATTTCACATTACACTGGAAAAATATCGTGTGCATTATGTCCAACACTACCATTTTTATGAATTCCGTTGACGCTCGTGATAATATATATAGTTTTAATAGGGCGGTATTGATGCTCATTATTATTTACTATGCATAGAGGACCACAGTAATCAAACAGCTTAATGTGGATTCATCTGGACGTGTGCAGGCATGGCATGTACTAAATGACTTCAGTATGGTGTAATGAGAACACAATATAAATAAATGAAATCGAATGAATAGCTCAGTTCTCAAGCAGCAGTAAAATAAAGGTAGATACAAAGATTCTAATAGCACAATAGAATGTCATCGTTGAGTGATTAATACAATTCCTAAGGTTTGGCTCAATGAATCTGAATACATTATTTTAATAAGGCGTATAATGGCTTCGTTTAAAAAACGCTCACAAAGTAGATCTACTCTCATGTTTATTAGAGGACCTTTAAACCATCCAGTTGCTGTCCTCAAAATATCCGCATTTACAAAATCGCATTACATGTATTTCCATTATTCAAACTAAATAAATAATAACAAAGCACAGTCGAAATAAATATGAAGAATGCGGAGTCTTATTTGCATGGAAAAAGACACTGACATAAATCAATAACCTTCAGGGGGGACTGTAAAGTGCAAAGATATCTTCAATTTTCATTTTCCATATGGCCTTGCGAATTGCCTTAACAAAGAGATTCTATACTGCTGATTGAACAAGGTAATCAACAACATTACATCAGCACCGTTTTAAATGGGTATTACGTTTCAAGCTCGTGCGCCACAGCTGCTATCTCATGCCTTGCTCATACACAATGTCCTGCAGGGAAATTCGGCGAATCGGGGATATTGGGATATTTCATCCCGGTATCCCTGATTTATCTGACCATACTTCACCACGCTGGTCGGTGACCATACTTCACCGTGTTGGTCAGTGCAGGTTGGTGTTAGCAATTATCTTAACAATTAATGTTATTGTATCGCCCTCTATGACCCATAAAGTAACCCCACATCAGCCTGTAACACCTGTTTTTATGCATGGTGGAAGCCAATCCCCAACCTGATTCAAGCTCAAACCTGCTTAGCTTTCAAGATCTGATGAGATCGGGCACATTATTCTGGTGAGTTCAGTATTTCTACTAAGCATGTTCTAATTTCCCTCCCACCCTCTTGATTTAATTGTCACGATGTTAGGTTACAAAACAATTCAAGACGTGCATTACATTTTATAAGTCACTGCATGGGCTTACGTAAACCAATTAATACACAGTATTGTGGCCCAGTGATGAGGACACCGTGCTGTCAACCTGGCGATCTGAGTTCGATCCTCGTCCACAGCTGATATAAGTGGCAGGTGATATTTTAGCCAGTCCTGGACCTCTGCCCACTTCACCAACCGGATCTGAACGGCATGGTCGACTGGACATCTGTGAAAAATAGCTTTAAAGCTGTGATGGTCAAAAAAACCCGAGGCCCGATTTAGTGTGTGGGAGAACTTCACCAAGCTGTGGATTGATCATGTAGCTTCTAAATAATTGTAATATTTTTGACACAAATCTAATAAAATACCGTACTATATTCCTACACGCACGATTTGACACATCTAAGAATCAATTTTAATTGATGCACCGATATATAAGCCGAGCTTGAATGTTTGACACCACGACTGGACTTTTATATGAAAACAATATTACGATATTACTTTCAAATCATCTAAAAACCTGTGTGACACACAGGTACAGCTACCATTCCATTGGGTAATGTTCACTTAATTCAACTCACACCTTTCGCACAGTTTTATAATAAGAATTCACTCTATTTGAAGGAATTTCTCATTTTAAAAAAAACCCATAGATCACTAAATTTGTCATTTGAGGGTGAGCAGCCCCTTTTTGCCATAATTTGTAACCTGCCACTGCAAAGGTTACAACAAAACATAAAAAGCCTCATATACTTTCTCCTATCCAAACATGCCCACTGGCTTGAGTATGTACGAAGAAATGTGAACCATGGGGGATGTGAAGAGTACGTCCATATTGCTTGACATTACTCGCAAAAATGTCAACACCTAAATGTCAAGAAGTAAATGTTGCCGAGGAAAATGATGACGAAATTATGACACAAAAATCATTTAATTTAATGGGATATCTTTGGCATTCTAAAGTATGGGGATATGACCACTACATGTATGTATCATTTCATCCAGAACGCAAAACAATGTTAACTGATATTTTATTATACCGATTGCAGCATGTATTAGGAAAGAGGTAAATAGTTTGGGAAAAATAGAGACTCACCATTGAAAAAGTGAAGTCTTTATAGGTTTAAGATGTTCTTAGAAAAAAAAATTGAAAAAAGAAGACAACTTTTTACATTTCTGATGTACGGATGGCCTATTTAAAACATTTAGTTTATTATTAAACACATCACTGCCTGGGAATGCGAGCCTGTCCTCAGCTGACGCAAGCTGTTGCTCACGGATGAGAGGCTGAGAGAAACAACAACTGTGACAGCCAAGCGTTTCAGCTTGGATCTCATTTTGGAATACACCATTCATAGAACAGGCCGACTAATATGACAACCTCCTACTCCCTGAACAGTAATACCACGCGTTACATTTGATGTCATTGCATTTGTACACAAAATACATCATAAAGTACAATCCTTAAGCAAACCTAGGTTAAAGTGATTACGACATCACGTAAGAATGTTTGGTCTTGTCATTTCGCGATAAATAAATTAATCGATTGATTTCTTAAAATAATTTCCCTTTACGTGACTTACTTTTTATATCTCACGATCCATGCCTTTCACGGCGCATTAGTCACTGCATACCCAGGACTCACAAAAAAAATTTGGAATGCTCCCAGGAGCACCGCAAATAAAATGCGGTTCCCAGAACAGAAACGCAGACCTTTACCAGAAGTGCGCGGTACACTTGATAGCAGCTGCCTGATGTGGTCAATTAGCCCGGGGAGGAAGAGAGAAAGAAAGAAGGGGATTGGGTGGGGGGGGGAGGTTTGCTGCCAGGAACACTGCACAACGCTCTAACCCCGGCGTCGCCATGGCGATCGGAAGAAGGCATGTCAGGAGTGGGTGTCGTGTGACAGCCCGCAATTAATAATTTCTATTTCAGGAAGTGTGCGGGGGCCTGCGAGGTGTGCGCGCGTACGTGCGCGCGCAGCGGGCGAGAGAGCGGCTTTTCGCTCGGTGGTCTCGTACAGAGAGAAAACACCAACGCCGTGTAGGATACTCGGTACAAATCCGCCGACTGATGAACTCGTTCTTCCTCCGTCGCCGTGTCACATGCGTGGGTTTGCCAACTGCGGTGACCACGTAACCCCCCCCCCCCCCCCCCCGAAGTCAATAACGGCGTGTTCCAACTTTAGGTCTTTAATGGGGGGGGGGGGGGGTTAGTTGACACATTCCGTTGACAGGAGGCCAGGTTTTTGCCACAAAATTATCTCCCCCCCCCCAACTCTTCGGGGTTGTATCGGCGATCGGCACCGTGTCTCGGCACCGTGTCTCACTGCGATAGCAAGGAGAGCTCGTTCCTGATAGAAACTGATATTTTAGGTACAGCGCCAATACATTACCTTAACACCGTTCTGTCCGAAGCTTTTTTTAGGCAATTGCACATTTTACAAATTGTAGGCTTTTAGTCACTCTGGATAGCCTTGAGGACAATTACTCCTTTAAAAGGTGTGTACTTTTATCAGGATGTCCGATGGGCACACTGTTTCTTATCTCAAGTGTATGTGTTTTCATCCGAAGGGGATGTCAACTTTCTGAACTTTGCCACTGGTGGTGGATTTTATGGCTTTTACATTGAGCCGGCAGTATTATTTTTAGTGCAGCTTCGGTCTTTATATATCCGTAGGCTATACAAACTGCATTACTCTTAAGTGTAACATTGTACATGATTAAATATTAATAGGAATGTGATGCATATTGGAGGTCACTTGCTGCGATGAAAATGCTAACGGGAACACTACGTTTAAATAAAATGCACTGTATAAAGTAACAGCCCCTTTTTATTTGAACAATACCACCGATGCCACTTTACCTCTGAGTCCTAATGATCAGCTAAAATAAAATTTCTACGCTTACCCTCAATTCGGAATGGTGAAGTATGGTCAAACAACCCGCCTTTATCAAACGTGGGTAGGCCTCTTAAACCGGAAGTGAATTCACTAAGGGCTGTACATTTTTTTATTACGGTAAATTTATGTGGCACTACGGCAAATGAGTTTTTTTTACTTTGGTAAAACTACATTGTGCTGCATGTATCGTGACTTACTGACTCGCCCCTATGGGCATCTGTGAAAAAGAGCTTCATAGCTCATCGGATTCCTCCTCCAGTCTAAATAAACATTATAATCGTACAGTATTGTGCCATCCCGTGTGTCAACACGCCTACACAAGTGGTAGGCGGTCTCTCTTGTGTAGGAGGGAAACACAATAGTGTTTGAAATGTGTTATCGTTTTGCAATGTAGCAAAGCGACTCCTTTTCACGCAAACGTTGTGACAACATCCCAGCATCCACTGCGGCATTGTGACTTGAACTACTCGCATTTTTAAACCCCTAAATTTCCCAGGAAAGCAAATGCCTTGCTTTATTTTGTGCTACAATCCCGGGAAATAAATATATACTCTGAGCTTATCGGTGTCTTTATCGTTTTAATGCCGAGAAACCAAAGTAAAAAAATCATCAATGCAGTACTGTTTATTGATATTTTTACAGCTACAATATTGTACCATAGTTGTCCGTGGGAGGGAAAAAAACCCCACTACATCCAAAATAATGTAAGCACAAATAACATGTCAATGACTTTAGTGTAGGCTCAGTGTTTTACATAATTGTCACTCGTTTGAACATTCATTCACAATTTTAAACTGGGATAGAGTGTATGTAAAACATACTATGTATAGATCGCAGTGTTACTGTACTCTCTAACACAGATGTCAACAATGCCAGCCCAAGGGACAGACTAATTATAAATTATATTTTAATACGTAAGCAAAGCAGACATGAGGTTATATTGTGAATTATGATGCTTCACTACGGAGACATCACGTATATCAGCAATAATATATTATATATTCAGTACATTGATGTGACACTCTCACTGCTCGATGAAGGTCTGCCCATGCCACATAAATCATGGAGGCTCTTTAACCCTAATTTAAAACACAGGTCACTACGGATTGGTAAATGAAACACCCAGGACTAGTTTGGATATCACTCGCAACCAATATTCGCAAGGGCTGAGAATTAGATGCAGGTAGCTGGGTTCAGAGTGCAGTGGGCTAACCACTGCATCACACCTGACCCCACCAATTTGGTCTCAAATAGCATTACATTGCAAAGGTATTTCTCCAACAATGTCAATTGTATATAGGAATCAATAATAATCAACATCATCCTCATCAGCCATGATCAATCCACTGCTGGTTGAAGTGCTCCCCAAGCCAATTGCCACCTCTCGCTGTCCTGCAATGTTACAATCCACCTATTACCCACACACGAACCGATGTCATTGCTTAATCTCTTCGGTGGATGTCTGCTCGGTGATGTTCTCTCACTTGGCCGTCATGAGTCTCGGCCACTGGCCATCATCCTCCCCAAGCACACTGGCTTTTCTTAAGTAAAAATTATGATTTTCAGCCACATAAGTTATCCACAAGAGTTTTTTTTAGGTTAGATCGCATATAAATGTGCAATTAAACCCCCCACCACGCGACACAGCCAATTCGTAAGGTTTGTCACGTAAACAAAACACATGCCAATTAGTTACCAGTTCAGCCGACCAATGTTTTGGAGGGTAAACCCACGTCATTTACAATTCGGGCACGACGTTTCGCCAGCAAATACAACCAGCCTCATCAGGCGACAGCCACAACTGTCAAAAAAATCCTCCCGTTTCAGTCTTAAATGGAGGGGGTAAATGTAATCCATGCGTTCCTATATTTTGCCACTCAGTGTACTGTCATTCTAAGCATGTGTCCATCTCTCCAAAGGTTTATTTGTGACCATTTCAGCGCCTTTCGTTGCCTTCGTCAATATGCTTATAAATGAGCCATCACCGTAAACCATAAAAGCAGCTGAATCTAACCGCACAGTGTTGTGTAATTTAAACAATCTGAGGAACTGCTGAATTAATGTGCTCGTTTGGGGGAGGTCTATCGTTCAACTAGAAAACAAACATGGTGATATATACAGTCAACTTGAAAAATGTTGAAATAGATTGTAGAGGACACTACCCCGATGGACAAAATTTAAACACAGCTTATTATATTGCATTAAATGCATACTTGTACAGTATATTAGATGTGTTTATTTTATATATGTATATTATTCCATGATGGTTTTTTCATTATACATCCCTGCTCTACAGCTCCCGCATGTCCTTAATTATAGACTTATACCCATTATAATCAACAAAGTGTTTTTACAGATCTTATTCAATGTGACCTAATTTGATCAAATTTACCATACATTTAACCACGAGTGATTTGCTTTTCAGGTTCGCGTTTTATAAAATACAAACTTTGGTCGAGAATTACCAGACTACAGGAGCTCTACTCCAACTACCGTACTAATTCTTGGCAAACACAAAAATAAAATCCCAACTTTGGGACTGATTTCAAGGCACCATTCTACAGAGAAGAAAATATAATTTTAATTGGTTTTAGAAAGCTTAAAATATTAAATAATACCACTGCTAACCTTCTTTAATTTAAGTTCAAAGGCACATATTGACCGGTGTGCAATGGTTATTTACTACAAAGTGTGTTGTGCTCATGTTTTATTCAGTGTTGCTTTCACGCACCATGCACATATGATGCACTTAACGAACATGAATACAATATTAGATTTTAAGAACATTTCAGCATTTCAATTTGCTAATTGTACTCAAAATAAATATAAGACCCATGACCTAAATAGAAACCCTTCACTGCAACATCCCAAGTTAATCCGTGCTACATAACCATAAGCAAGCGAGACATTTTCCAAGAGGAATGCTTTTTTTAACCGAGACAGTACACATTGTGCAGTTATTGTAACCTACCGAAACCAAAAAGAATGTTGTTTTCTTGCATATCAAATAAGCAATACCATCGCAATACAACAAAAGGCACGTATTGTGGTAACCAAGCATACACATTTAATACCGTAGATGTATAAGATATGTTGTACAACACAGGTTTACAAACCACTCTTAAACACAACCATCTATACAATACACAGTTTACACTTATTGCTGTATTTTACTCTCTACCCTGTGGCTGCGCATTCATGACTGCATCACTGAACAATAGCGTTCGTTAAGTGCTGACAAATAATAGCAAGAATTCCAATATCCCATGCAACTATGATGAACACTTTAAACAATGAAAAAACTCAATTCAAAAGTTTAGCAAAAAATTACGAAATATTAGTAATTTGTCACTTCAATAATTCGACCAACTCTCAAAATATTACAAAAGATAAAGGTTCATGGCTTGAAGGGTGCGTGTAAACAAGATGTAGGCTAGGGCCGCAGGAATCAAGCCTATTCAGGAAGAATAATATGGACCGAGGCAGGCCCTTGGTAAGTTGCCAGAAATCTTTGGTAATCCCCAGATGAGCATGCGGCCTACACACAAAGGAGTCATTCAACAGCTTTGGTCCTTGGCACAAGCTCGTGGAGGCACAGACCTTTCCAAAATTCAAACCACACGTCATTAAAAATAAGAGGTGTGTGCTTATGCACATCCCTTAAAGTCTATCTCTGTTCCTCCTCCTCCTTGTACTCAATCCACGCTTTCGTTCTGTCTCTTCTCCCCCCCCCTTTCACTGGAACAAACTTCCCCCTCCAAATTAAGCAGTCACCTTCGCTCACTAGTTTCCGCTTCGCACTCAAAACTCACTTATTGTCCACGAGCTCACCCCACGACCCCTTAATCTTCCCCTCATAAACCACCTCCGTTACTGTTCCCTCTTCATATTCTCACTCGTTCCTCATGCATTCAATCCATTCATCATCATCTACTGTCATCAATTTCACTTTCACCGAATGCACGCAACACAAATTTGCCCCCCCCCCCATTGCTTCCTCTCATCTATTTCATTCACCTCACCTCCACCATTACATTCATATGTAGTACCGTTGTTAATTCTTTGTAAAGCGCCTTGCTTAAGGCGCTATATAAATTCGGTTAAGATAAGATGACTACTCGGAAATGTGCCCCTTGGTCTCTCGTCCTTTAAAATATTCACCTTAACTTAAACAAAAAAACTCGCCCATTTTTCAGACACTGTACGAGCAGGACACAAAGTGATGAAAACAAGCAGTGCCTACATTTTCTTCAACTCTGCCAAATTCCCAGCACAAAGACTGCTTTATATGATAGAAAGCATTGGAGAATTCCACACCATTGAAAAATTATTTTATGCTTTCAGTACATCACAGTTCAAGGATGACCAAAGGAACGTGCTAAGGACAACGGCAGATACGTTAGCTTGCTGCATGGAGCTTTTGGCAACTCAGCAATGCACGTGTGTTGATGCGTGATGGTTATTCATATATTCGGATAAAGCATGCAGACCAGTCAATCAGATTATGACTACATTAAAAGCTTTATATACTCAGAATACAGCATTTGCACGGCTCAAGCAATTTCTTAATTGGTAGTGCATAAATGGGAGTGGGTTGTGTGCAGTTAGGCATACATATTTTGGGTTTTGGTTATTTTAACTTTTAATAGCCATTCCCTCCATATTGGATGGGTCAGCTGTAATGTTCAGCGATGTGTAATTATATTGGGATTGTGCTGAACAATACATTTTTAGGACAGAACGGTCTATTGATATTTGTACTGAACCGTCCCAACATTTAGCACGACGCTATACTCTATTTCTGTTTTTTTTAGAACATTTTAAACCATCTTGTATATAGTACTTCAAACATCTCCAGTACCATATGAAATATACATTTTGGATGAAGCTTACAGCGCTGTATTAGTCCCTGAATTGCTAAAGACTATTTCATTACATAAAAGTACTGACAGCCGGTGTTATTTTTAAATACTTTGCACAATTGTTCCTTTTTTTTAACCCACTCACAAAAAAATGTACCTGTATAACGAAAGTATATTATTCATCCCTATAAGACTATCAACAGGATAATGTTATAGCAAGCGATGGGCAGGTCGGTAACAGAAATATTGGCGCAGTATCCCTGCAGTCATGTACAAGAAGAGATATGTTGAGCTTACCTACGTGTATGTGCAAGCACACACACACTATACCTGCTTGAGCATACAGACAACGCACACAAACACGGATCTGCAGGAAAAAAATGTACTTGGGAAGTGCCCATACACATTTGCTGCAAGCATGGTATTGAAGTAAGCGTGTTTAAACATGCTCTTACAGAAACTACAATTATAGGAGCTCTAACGTGCTACTTTTGCCACATTACACACGCCTCCATTGGCGGAAAACACAGGTGGCCGATTAAGTGAAGGAAAACGTTGCTAAAAGCAATACAAATATATTTTGAGTGGCCAATATATAAAACTCAAATATCCTCCGATCAGTTATCCCACCAACATGATACAGCGTTGTCGTGCACTGAGGAATGTGGATATGGTTGCATTTTGGCTGAGCAGCTCAGAAACACCCATGACCTATTATATTCCGCCAAAAAAATCTGGTGCACAGTGGGCGTATACACGCGCATTAGCATCATGAATGTCACTCGTGTACAGAGACATTCAAACGTGAGGGATGAAAGGGAACTTTATTTTAATTTAACATGTTATATTCTTCATCATCATTATCAGCTATGTTCAATCCACAGGTAAGTTGTATTCAAGGTAGGTATTTTTTTACATATACTTAGCACACTGTTCAGGTTCCCCCCCCCCCCCACCAGATTTTCTGAATGAATATCCATGTTTATGATAAATAAGTCTTAGCAGGCAGTACACACCGATGCAAAACTTTGTATGGATGGATGTATGTTGAACTTCTTTCGCACCGTACGTAGCCAAGCGCACCAATCGGAGGTGCGGTGGAAGGGAAACTAGTGTTTTGGTAAACGGGTGCTTTGCTATTTAGCATCAAATTCAGTTTTCTAAAAGCACTCCGACATGCTCTCTCCCACCTCTCTTATTTTATCATTTTGTTTCTGATCTGCTTTCAGGGGCTATCCTCAGTAAACGTTTTCCGCTTTGTTTTCCAGCTGTGTCCATCCGGAAGATATCTCCAATTGTTTAATGAACCTTAAAGCTTTCGCGACTGCAGGAATTCATATTCTTTGGGTCTTTCGGTAAAGTCACGTAGATAGGTTCAAGGAAAATAACAAAAAACGACTACTTTTCGATCGCTTGTGTCGCGATCGAAACGTCGTAGTTTTTTGTTATTTTCTTTTAACCTATCTACGTGACTTTACCGAAAGACCCAAAGAATATGATATCCTGTTTAAGTTCGTATATTTCCTGATTCATTTCCATTGGATGTTACAAAGACTAATTTACGTCACTGGAAAATCTGAGATCTTAATGGTTTCTCATTAATATGCATTTCTTTCTCCAATCCAGATTACAAAAAATAAATTCTAATGACAATGTGAATAACTGTGGTGAAAGCATATCACCTTGTCTAACTCACATTTTAATGTAGGTACTTTTTCATGTAATATCATTCTGACTGTTTTGTTTTTGTCAAAGGTTTATTTTTTCTAAATATTTATATTTCATTTGGGCCTTGATTTGTGAAAGCTTGGATTCACTGAATCAATTTATACTGAGTCCGATGCTTTGTCATAGCCTACAAAGGCTAGACACAATCGTAATGGACACTAAAATGATTAAAGAAGTCAGGGCAAAAAATGGTAGCCTGAAAGGGGCAAAAAGGAGGTTGATTGGCAATTTACAAATGGTGGCCCTTCGGGATAAAGATGGAACCATAACTCATGGTAACAATATTCCTAAAATTAGTGCAGGAATGTTATGCAGATAGCAAAATTACACATAGCCCAGGAATCAAACTCTCAGATTAATAGGATATTCTAGATGTTAAACTTGGTGAAATCAACTCTGCCCTTCTACGTATGAATAAGGGGAAGCCTCCTGGACCATATGGTATAACTGTGGACATCATCAAAGGCGTGACCAATTAATTATTGGAGGCTTGTACACTAAATGTTTACACAGAAATGAAATTCCACAATCATAGAATCATGTCCCAGACAATCTTTCATTCAAAAAAAGAAATTTGACCTGAAGAACTACGGACCACATAGGCTGTTATCACACAACTACACATTGTTTACAAAGATCACTGGGAACAGAATAAGACAATGTTGCGGCCAACCAACCGTGGAAGCAAGCAGGGTGCAAGAAGGTTCCTCTATCACAGTGGTTCTTAACCTTGACTGCAGTTTGCACCCCTTTGGCTCACAATCGTTACAAAAATGTATAATGTTAATCAATGAAGTTGTACTTACGTGCCCGTGCATAATGTGTTTTAGATGATTTACCTTCTAAAAAAAATCTGGCCATGTCTCGCACCCCTAGAAAGGGCATCTCGCACCCCCAGGGGTGCGTGCGTGCATCCCAGGTTAAGAACCACTACTATATCACTCACCACATACATGTTATTATTCACTGGAAAATACTGATGAATTTCATATAAACTGTATCAAATGTGTATAATTTACTAACAGGTCTGTTTAATGCGAGGAGTCCCCACTTTTCTATCGGATTAATTGTAACAGCACTAAGTATCATTTAATTAATTACAGATATTCAATTGGCAATCATTCTCACTTTATGTTCGAAGCTCTTTAATACAGTACTGCATGTGTATTAAAAAAAAACAATATTTTTAACACAATTTAAAGTCCTATGAAGGAAAAGTTATGCACATGGTCATATTCCCACATTAATGTTGTAGCTCCCATGACCCCACTTTACAACATGTCATCGTGTCAGTCAAATCTACCGCCGGTCAGTACATAATAAGTTCTCCACTTAAACATGACTGTTAAATAAAGGCACAATATTAAATAAGTAAGTGGGCTCTTCAAATGTCAAAGTGACCACATTGTAAAGCTCTGCACATATATATTACTACATACAGTACAAAGTTTTAACAATAATCTTACGTGAAAATGATCAATTTGTTAAAATTGTAATTGCTCGTATACTGCAATGAATACCTTTGATTGAAACATTATGTCAGGAGCTAATGTGTAGGTAAAAAGTAAATCGCGACTTGAGATTCATGAGGTATGGGTGTGCAGAAATGAAATGGATAAAACGGGAGAATAAATACTCTTAGGAAGTGGAGTTAAGGATAAAGGAAACATCAGAATAAATGACAGGAAATTACTATGCTTTTACGTATGAAATTCATGTAAAAAATGTATGCCATGCATTTAATGCGCAACCAGCTACAGATTGTGAGACAGGCAAGACAAATCACTGCTGGTAATGTCTCACAGCGCATACTTCCCTTATCTCAGTACTCATTTTGAGAATCCACATAAGTTCACTGGAATGCCAAAAAAGCTAAATATGGCCTGACCTTAGAGGTCAGTGTATGGATGACTTTAATCCATCATAAATCATTTCTGAAAGCTATTCCAGCCACTGTAAAGGTAATGCAATCAATACACAACTCAAGGAAGCAATGGCGCATAGAGCGATTATAATGCATTTCCTTGCGAGACAGGTACTTAAATAGTAAATTTACCCTTATAAAAATAATATTTTTATATACATATATCTTAGTACTAATTGCTGCTTGTTTGCACAATTATTAATCTGAAATATATATTTATAAACACAGTACGCAATTAATAACTGCGCTCACACTATTTCAAGCACACGCACATGCACTCTCACGGCATACCAGGAACAAATATAAAATAATTAATTAACAAAACAAATAATTAAGAAAAATTGTATTGCCGTGTGGAAATCTGGCTCGGGGTATCCTGCAGCAACTCACCACCAAGGTACAAATGCCTCAACGAAAGCTTATCTGGGTGCATATAAGACATAACTACATATGGCTAGATGCCAGGACAGGTTAAACATCTGCTTAGCTTCTGCATTCAGAAGAGAATGGGCTCAATTCTGAGAGCAACAAATGACTCTATATTACCATTCACAAATCACATACAAAGACGTTGCATGAAGAGAATGCATGCATCCCTGCTGATGAAGATCAACACAACATTTACAAATGCTTGCACCTGAGCCAAAGCTGTGCATTCAAGTGGTATACTGTAGATCCAGGAAAAGAAAGTTGTATTTTTGTGGTTCACTCTTGTTAACTTTGTTCAATTATGCATGCTGAGAAAGATTCAGTGCAATCTGTAAACATGGGCGAGTTACTCAATGTGTATGGGAATGAGAGATGCAAAGTAATATGGAACTTCATTCATCCCAGGCTTATTTAATGAAGACACTTCATCATTCTATGCTTATTCTATGGTTCTTTCGGTAAGGTCACGTAGATTAAAACAAATAATAACAATAATAAAATAATAAAAATAAAGTGAATACAAATATCACAACGTTTCAATCGCAACACATTGTTCCGGATGACGACCGCTTGTGTTGACATCGAAACGTCGTGATATTTTGTTATTCACTTTATTTTTATTATTTTATTGTTATTATTTTTTCTAGCTACGTGACTTTACCGAAAGAACCATGGAATATGAATTCCTGCAGTCACGAAAGTTTTAAGTCACTCTATGCTTATTAGGATATCATGGGAGGGTTCATTAAAAAAACTAGGCATTTTAATGACTATCCCACTCAAATGAGTGTATGGCTCACAGCCCTGAGCGAGTGATGAAAATTCCACATTCCTGAGGTAGGCAAGTAAATCCATAGGCCATCCACTGTTGAGTTCCCAAAACATTATTTTATCAACCTAAGAGAGTTAATGCTTATCTAGGATATGAACTCACATACTTCCGAATGAAAGCCATTCGCTTTATCCGCTGTTATTTGGCCAACTTTGTTTGAGGTGTCTATAACAAAAGTTTAAAGGAAACGCTGACTTCCCATGTTATTTTCATTGGTTTATTTCATTTGTTGATAGAAGAGAATGCAAACAAGAAGGCATCTAAACGTATCTCCGAGAGAACAGGTTCTTAGAAAAAAAAAATCTCCTTTGGTGACATGACTGTGTTTTTTAAAGAGTTCTATGCCTCAAGCTGTGTGCGTCTCTGTATGTTTACCGATCATTAGGGTGATTAGTCACATTCTTCATTATTAGGTTTATGATATAGACATTAATTACTGTGCAGTCTCTTTCCAATTTACATATTAAAAGATGTTTACTCCCTTGTGCCTTGCCAAAATAGTCCCAAGCGCTAAGAAAACACTGATTGGATTGGGTTCACATTTCATATTGTGAAAATTAATTCCATTTCTCACCCTGTGCATTGAATTGCCCTCGATATAATTAAATTGAACACTATGTGTGCATGTATAATATTTTAAAGTACAAATATAGAAACCTTAAAAACATTTTTTTTGAATTTGTACGGTGACAAACAGCAATTTTAATATCAGAAATAACCTACACTCAACATTAATCTCTTATACTTCTACAATATCAAATTAAAAGGCTTCGTACTAATTAAATTAGCTGCCTTGGCATTACTTAGATGTAATGGGTATTTTTAATCATCTTATTAGAGCTGATAAAATGCTGAGACAATACTTCCTTTAAAAAAAACTCAGCGCATCCGTGAAACTGTCAATAACATAATCAGGATGGATAATTTTAATGCCTTTTATATAGAGCTGTAGATGAAAAACAATTGAGAACCACGGACTTGTGCAATATTTCCGTGAAAGAGCTCCACGCATGGCCGACAGAATTGCTTCGCGCACACAAAACGGGGCTAGGCGGGTACAGGAATACTGTGGCGTAAACAGTTTGTATAAATCAGGGGGGATTCAGACAGACAAGCCGCTGAGCCAAGCAGCTCATTCCTCACGTAAGATGTAGAGTAACGATTCGTGGAATGAGAAAGCAGGCTTCAAGGCCAGGGCCCAACTCAAAACTATAATGCCTTTGTGGAGGGGAATTGGCATTTCTGTTTCCCCAGTGAAGGGTTTACATTCCCTGGAACACCCTGAGTATTATAGTGTACTGTATATGTATTTGGCTGAATATACGTATGCTGTATATCACAATACGTGTATATTGTGTTGTTTACTAAAACCCGATGGCCAGAACTAGCGCAACATGCATTATTGAGCATAAGTAAATTCACAAAGGAATAAGCCTTCTGTACGATTTTATTTTGGCTCTATGTATTTATCGTATTGATTCTTAATTTTGTAAGGCTTT